GAGAGAGAGAGAGAGAGAGAGAGAGAGAGAGAGAGAGAGAGAGAGAGTCGTCACGGCAGGAAACAGACAGACAGACACACACACACACTTCGGAGAGGCAAGCTGCTGTTGTTGTTCTTCAGTTGTGCTGGAGTTTAGTTTAGTTTACTTTTATTGTCATTGCACCTTGTACAACGAAATCAAACACCATCTTCAGTGCACATTGAAAATAAAACACAAACACACATCCTTCACACATTGAATTGATAAACCCCCAACACCACACCAACACTGCACTGTACAGCAGAATTCAAGAGAGCTCCTGCCCTGGGATAGAAGCTGTTTTTCAGCCTATTTGTCCTTGTTTTTATTATTGTCCTGTACCGTCTGTCAGATGGTAATAGTTCAAAAAAGGGGTTCCCAGGATGAGATGGATCTTTGAGAATGTTTTGAACTTTCTTAAGGCAGCAGGAGCTGTAAAGCTCTTCCAAAGAGGGGAGAAGGCAACCCAGGATCCTCTGGGCAATGACATTAACCCTCTGGAGCGCTTTCCTATCTGCCCCTGTGCAATTGGCAAACCCTACAGAGGTGCAGTATGTTAAAATGCTCTCTATGGTGCAGCGGTAGAAGGTCACCAGCAGTTTCTCATTCAGTTGTTTTCTGAGAAGCCTCAGGTAGTATAATCTCTGCTGGGCCCTGTTGACCAGGGCTGCAATGTGAGCATCCCAGGTCAGGTCCTCTTTTATGATGGTGACACCCAGAAACTTAAAACTGGCCAAGAGCTTCCAAAGGCCAGGTCCCCTTGGAGACAAACTAGAACAGATTGGCACGGCACAGCTTATACAGGTAGTCCGCCACTTACCACCACAATTGAGCCCAAAATTTCTGTTGATAATATTTGTTTAAGTGAATTTTGCCCCACTTTACAACCTTTTGGGCCACAGTTAAGTGAAACGCTGCAGTTGTTAAAAGTTAGTAACACAGATGAGTGAATCTGGCTTCCCCATGAGAAGGGGACGACGTGACCCCGGGAGACTGCAACCGTCATAAATATGAGTCAGTTGCCAAGCATGAACTCGGGGTGGTTGCAATGGTCGTTAAGTGTGAAATAGAATCCTTGAAGAAAGGATGCAGGGGAGGAGTAGGAACAGAATGGCATGGGAATGGCAAAAAGTAGAATATTTATCTTAAATAATTAAATGGGGGTTGTTAAATTGTCCCACAGCCGAGTTTGGCTGTGGAGTGTTGTCCCATTCTGATGTCAGACAACCTTGAAGCAGGTCACGGCAGTCTGGCCACCATATCATAGCGCAGCACAAGCCAGCATTCAGGTGGCAGCCGACGCAGAGCATGGATACACAACCGCCCTCCTGCCCCCCTTCTGCATAGCCGCAAAATGAACTGGCTGATGTTTTGGTAAGTCTGAGCTGGAAGCTAAATCCAGAAGTGGACAAAGCCTTTCCTCGTCTTCCCATACCGGCTGCTCAGGAGGCGCCCAGTTGGTTCTTGCAGGAGAGACCCACATCCTACAGACATCCTTCAAAATCAAGCTCAGGGCTACAAGAAGCCGGGCTGGAGACCTGCTAAGTTGCCCATCCTGCAGAAGACCTCAGAAAGACTAAGAGCAGCCCCCCTCCTCCTTCCCTTAAAGGCCGCAGCCGAAAGCCCCGCAGACGGGCACCCAAAATGTGTCCCTGTCACTATATCTGTGTCTGGAATTTCCCTGGCAAGCGACGAATTGGCCAGAGGCCCTTGGAACCTAAGTTGTCCCGCAGCCGTGACAGTTAATTCATCCCAAGGAGGTGGAGACTCTCGAGGGTGTGTGTGTGTGTCAGGGCTGAGGGTTTACTCTTCTTCTCGTGCGAATCCGTGGCCTGCCACTGAAGGCACAGCAGGACGGAGCTCATTGAGAAGGAAAAGCGGTTCCTGACCTCTGCAGTGTCCCCTGCTCGCCTTGCACCTACCCTTTGGAGGAGCCGGTGTCCCTGTCGGTCACTATTCTCGCCCCAATGCAGCTATCGAACGACTCTCTCAAGGTTTCTTCGGTGGTCTCCTCTGACAGCCCTTTGACAAACAGGGTTTTGCTTTGCTCTGAATGACAGGAGAAAAGGCCAGGGAGAAAAGTAAGATCAAGCAGGCTGGATAAAAATCAATGATAAAAAAAAACACTGAACTTTTGTTTGATTTAAATTGGATTTTTTTTATTTTTATCAAATGTATCTCTAATAAAATGCTTTTGGGAGTAAAAAAAAATCTACCTAAAGATAAGTTTTCTATTTGAGATACATTAACAATTTAAGTTTATTCAGTAGGAAATGGAGCTTAGTTCTGTGGCACATGAGGCTGTAGATTCTGCAATATTGGGACTGTTGGTGAATCGACAGCAGGTCAGAGGAGGAGCTGCTGCTGCGGAGCAGAGGGATGACAGCGGCTCTTCAAAAATCATGGTTTAAATCGAGTTGATTTAAATCAAGTCCACCCTGAGATCAAAGAGTGGTTTGGAGAAGCTGGAACTGGGACTGTCTGATGGGGATGGCGCATCTCCCCTGGCGTATTCAGAAAGGCCAGGGGTTGAGGACGATGCTGTCCCAGGGCCCTCAGGCATTGGGGGAGGTGGCTGACCGGACGCTAAGCTACCTGTCTTCACAAGACACACGGGGGAGGACCGGCTGTGGGGACTCGAACTGTCAGAGAACTGACCTTCTCCAGCCTGCATCTACGACCAGCACTGGCCCGGAGAGAAAGGAAGGGCCCTCTTTAATGCTCCAGGTTAAGGTAGCCAACCTTTACTTACGACTAAAGCCCCCTTTCATGTTTGTATTTCTGTTCTGTCCGCCCGAGTTGCTGAATTCTAGTCTGATTGTGCGGCCTTCGATCTCTGTGTTGTTGCAGGAGTTCATGGCTTCCTTCGCATCCTCAGCTGTGGCAAAGTCGACGAAGGCATACCTGTTCCAAGGGAAGCAGGGGGGTGGGTGGGGAGGGTCACCAGAGGAACTGCGGGGGGCCCAAGCGTGCCAAGCTCCTCCTCCCCCCTCCGTCTGGGGGCTCGCCTGGGCTCCTCCTACTCACCCTTTGGGTCTCCCCTGGTTGTTCTGGGGAATCCTGATGGCCGACGCTTTCTCAAAGACCTCCTGGAGGCTTTCCTCGGTCGCATCGTAAGAAAGGTTGTTCACCACCAGCGTCTTGGATTCTCCCCCTGTGCAAAACAAAACAAACCCACACTTCCAATTGAGAGCAGTCTGCCACTGAGAATTAATACAGGTCACCTTCGCTTCAGAGACAATTGCAATATCGAACTTGGCCTCGGTGGCACAAGGGGTTAGAGTGCGGCACCGCAGGGCTACTTCTGCTGACTGCCAGCTTCCTGCAATTTGGCAGTTCAAATCCCACCAGGCTCAAGGCTGACTCAGCCTTCCATCCGTGGTGGGATTCAAATACTTTTAACAACTGGTTCTCTCTCCTAATGATTCCTTCCAACAACCAGTTCGCCAAACGGCTCAGAAAGTTAACAACCGGTTCTCCTGAAGGGATGCGAACTGGGTGAATCCCACCACTGCCTTCCGTCCTTCCGAGGTGGGTAAAATGAGGACCCAGATTGTTGGGGGCAAGAGGCTGACTCTGTAAACCGCTTAGAGTAGGGCTGTAAAAAGCACTGTGAAGCAGTATACAAGTCTGAGTGCTACTGCTGTTAAGCGGTCATTAAGTGAAACCGTGCACGAAATGTCACTTGTTATTCTCTGGTCTTAATATAAGTAGAAATAAAGATGACTGGATGTTGGGGAATGGAAGGATTTATACTCCTTGCAGACAGCTGGTCATTTGCATCCTTTTAGAGGGTCGTTGAGGCCACCTGGAGGTTTACCTGTGATCTAGATCCTCCTTTGACTGATCTTGGAAGGACGGAAGGCTGAGTCAGCCTTGAGCCGGTCAGGATCAAATTCCAGGCCGTGGGCAGAGTTTGCCTGCAGTGCTGTATTCTAACCTCGAAGGAAGGAACGAAGGGCCCACCAAGGGCTCATTTTGATCTTACTTTGGCATGACAGACTTAATTCTGCTGATCCTTCCGAGATGGGTAGAATGAGGACCCAGATTGTTGGGACAAGAGGCTGACTCAACTGGTTAGAGAGGGGGCTGGAAAGCACTGTGATGCGGTATGTAAGTCTTAAGTCACCATCCTCTTTTAATGACCCTGTAATCCTTTGCGAGGTGGAGCCTGGTCAACCAAATGGAGCTAGCAGAGTGTTTAATGGCCAGATGCCCTTCTTGTTGTCAATGTGGAGTTTTTTTTCCAGCAGATATATTCTTATTATGCATTTCCAGAGAGAGAAACACCTGCCTCCACCTAGGATCGAACTCACAGCCTCCCGATTGTGAGGTGAGAGCTTCACCTCTAGGCCACCGCACCACTAGCACATAAGTCTTAAGTGCTATTGCTAAACCAAGAGTTCTCCTTGGGGGAATGAAAACCAAAGTGTTCCCTTGCCTGGTTAACTTATTCTGGAGGTCTCTCTCTCTCTGTAGCCGAGGCAGCTTTCGGCACCCTGAGTGGATCCCACCTGGGCCTCTTACCTGAGGGGGCTCCCTTGCCGGGTTTCCTGCTATCCTGCTGGCTCTTTTCACCTACGTAGTCAAGGACAATGGGGCGTCCGTCTATCTCCATCCCCTGCTTCTCCAAAGCTTTCTCTGCGTCGGCCTCACTTTTAAATTCGATGTAGGCGATCCTGGAACGAAAGGGAAGGAACAGCTTATATCAAAGGCCGGTTTGGGAAGCCGTGTTAAGAAGCGGCTTCGCTGCTCCTACCGGCAGTCCTCGACTTACGACCACAACCGAGCCCAAAATATCTATGGCTAAGCAAGATGCTTCATTTTGCCCCATTTTACAACTTTCCTTGCCACGGTTGTTAAATGAAATCACTGCAACGGATTAGTAACATGGTTGTTCAGTGAATCTGGCTTCCCCTCTGACTGTGCTTGTCAGAAGGTCACAAAAGGGGATCACATAACCTTGGGACACAACGCTCGTAAGTATGAAAAGTCATTTCCCAAGTGTTGTAAAACTTTGAACAGTCACTAAATGAACTGTTATGAACTTATTCACTAAATGAATAAGTCAAGGACTACCTGTATTCCAAGCTAGCTTCCAAGAGCAGTTGTTAATTCAGGTTGTTCCTTCAGGTTTGGCTTTTATTAAGCTAATTCAACAAATAAGAGTAATTTTTAGGGATCTTCCTGAACTTTTTTTTGGTTCATTTTGGCCTAGATGTTAATAGGAAGAACGCTTATTGTATTCTTATGAATCGACATATTTTAAAATTTAACCTAATAACTAATATATAATTTACTGAATTCTCCAAATCTTACAACATTGACTACATGTCTATCATAAACATACCCTATTATGATGTGTTCGTTCCATATAATTTTATTACTGTTATACATCTGCTCTATGCCATATCCCAAATAAATAAATAAATAAATAAATGTTCATTTAGTTTCACAACTAGTTGATTTGTCGGGTGGTATGGTTTCTCTTCTAGCTTGTTTTTGCATAGTTAATCTTTAGCAGAATGGCCGTAGGAACTCCAAAATAAATTACATCTACGTGGAGATTTAAAAAACAAAGACTTTCACCGTTACGTGGATGTGATTACAATGACAGAATGCCTTTGAACCATTTAAAAAAAGGAAAGCGGCACGAATCTTATTACAAAGAAATTAAAAAAAACATACTGGGCCTTCTTAAGAGCAACATACCCTTTGCTATTCCCATCCTTGGACACCAGCCTGACCTCAACGGCCTCCTCAAATGCAGCATGCAGCTCATCCTGGGTGACACTGTAAGCAAGGTTCTTCACAAAAATGGTCCTTGCTTCTCTCTCTAGGAGAAAAAAGAAACCCCAGCACATTACAACATTTAGGCCATTTCATTTGCACACTGCTGGCCAATCAGTCAATCAAAACTGCCACTTATTCAAAGAAAAAACTGGCCACACACACACACACAAAAGGTCACAGACATACAGACTTTCAGCTGGACATCTGTGGATAATCCTGCTATCTGACCAAGTTCTTCAAGGCTTAGTAGCTACCAGAATAGGCACCACTGGGCTGGAAGGATAAATTTTTCCAGCCCGGTGAATATATTTTCCTCTGTTCCTTTTTAGTTGAACTTCAGTTCTAATCTGGGACACAAGGGAAGGTCTTTGGCGGAATATTTAATAGTTAACTGCTCTTAAGTGTGTCTCTGTTGTGCATGCACCTTTGAGCTGGTGTTTGCCTCCTAGCAACTGCCTGGACAGCCCCTGCAGTTACCTTGACAAAGTTTTTCAAGAGTGGTTTGCCCTGGCCTCCTCCTTCCTAGAATGTGATTGGCTTAACATCATCCAGCTGGGCTCCTCCTGCCCAAGGTAGGACTTAGAACTCACACCTTCTCCCAGTTTCTCGTCTGATGCCTTAATCACTACGGCCTTAATTGCTGCATCGGGGACGTGGTATATATACAGTGCTGCCAAACGAAATACGTGAACTACACTATCACTCACCTTTTTTATTCTCCCAAAGGCTCTCTTTACTCTTTGCTTTTTCTAGTTTCGTTTCCAGGCCCATCAGTTTTTTCCCATTTAATTTGAGTGCTTTATCCAGTTCAGCTTCAGAGGAGAAATCTACATAGCCAAACTTCCTGCAAGACAAAGGAAAAATGTTCAGTCTTTAAAAAAAAAAAAAAAAGCACTCGGCACACACGATTGCTTTCTCAAGTGGAACTGCTACCCAGTTTCAAGCAAATTAAGATAGCCGGACCTCTACTTGGGTTGCATCGTTCTTGTCATTTGTAACGTCCTATTACTTGAAGTGCTAAAGGGACAGACACAAAAAACTCACCAGGGCCACAAAATGCACCTACAGGGCACATACGATACCGAATCTTAGCGGACCGTATGCTTCTCAATGCATTCCGCCACCTCCACAAAAAGAGCGCACAAGAAACTGGGCATAATGCAAGCATGAACACCCCAAAACTAAAGGAAGCCGATCCAACCGGAATTGTTTTTGCCTTCTGAAAGGCAGCAGGAGTATTTTTCTGAAGTATTTCTGATACAAACCAAGGGAAGCGATCAGCCTAGAAATTTTACAAAAGTGCTCGATGCTTGGCAAGCCAAAATATGTACTCATGTATTCATACTGCTAATCAGGAAGCTTTCAGAGTGCTATTATTAATATAAGTATTTAAAACAATATTCCTAAATCTGAACGTTGGCAGGATTCGAGAGATTGTAAGGTACAGGCATTAATTCATAAATTCAGTAGAGCAATTGAACCATATCTTAGCACTTTTGCTAATAACACACTGGTATTTGTTGTCTCTTGTAAACAAGATGGGTGGGGCTAGACCTAAGGGATGCCTCTCTCACTGGCCCACTCATCATTTGTTCAATGCCTGCTGCTTTACTCAAACCTCTATTGACAGATTACCCCATCAACAAGTAGACACTTTCAAAAGGGACATAATATCTGTAGAAACACAGAAACACTCAGAACATCCCAATTATGAAAGGCAATTTGCAATGAGGCCCCAGAACTGTACAGTGCCAGTTGTGGTCCCCGTACAAAAAAAAAAAAAAAAGATGCTGAAGCTCTAGAAAGAGTACAGAGAAGTGAAACAAAGGTGGATCAGCAATCTGGAGGCTAAACCGTGGGATGAACAGCTAAGGGAACTAGGTATGTCTACTCTAACAAAAAGGAGGGTTAGGCGTGACAAGGATCGCTGTCCTCCAGGACTTGAATGGCCGTCACAGAGAAGTGGTCAATTTTTTTTCTCCAAAGCACTCAAGGGAAGGTCAAGAAGCAATGGGGGAAAGCTTATCAGACGCTACCTGGTTACTAAGGAGGAGTTTTCTAACAGTAAGAACGATTTATCAGTGGAAGAGTTTCCTTCCCAAGAGTTGTGGGCATTCCATTGCTGAAGGTTTTCAAGAAAAGTTTGGACAACCATTTGACTAAGATGGCATATAGGGACTCCTGCCTTGGGCAGGACTAGAACAGGGGTCTCCAACCTTGTCAACTTTTAAGCCTGGAGGACTTCAACTCCCATAATTCCCCAGGCAGACCCCTGGACTAGAAGACCTCCAGAGTCCCTTCCAGCCTGTACAATTCTGGCCCACTGCAGAACATAATAAAATCATTATTTCTCATTATTTGGAAGCTGCATTTTGTGGATAGAAGCCTAAACTGCATTAGTCTTTTTTTTTAAAGCAGCCACATTGTACCGTTCACTCATGTTCAGTTTGCAGTCAATCATAACTCCAAGTCCATTTTTACCCCTAACCCCATCTCAACACATTTCTGGTTTCTACCAGTTCCTTCTGCCCAGTTTTGTACTCTTTGGTAAGCTCCAAGCCCCCCCCTTTTTTTTTGGCTTGAATTAGCCACCTCCCATAAGTTTGTGGCATTTACAAATGTGTAAACCATTTTTCATTCAGCAACTGAATGTCTGCAAAACCCAAGGTACAATCTCCGCACCTCTAGGATCCACCTAGAGGTTCGGAAAGGTAGCTTTAAAGTTAAATTTTTACATTTTTAAAGGAATCAAAATCTCCCCCCCTCCCCCAATACTTCCCCACTCGGTGAAGTTCTTACTTTGAATTGCCAATTCTGACTTCTTGGACTTGAAGGTCCTTTTTGCCAAAGAAGTCTCTGATGGCAGCCTTGAGCTCTTCGAAGTTCTTGCTTGCATTGAGGTTACTCATAAAGAGAGAGAAGGCGGCCTCTGCAAAGGGAAAGAAGGGGAGGTCAAGGCATCTGCTCAGGCACCCCCAGGATTAGCAGGAAGTGCTGGTGGAAAGACGCGTGGGAAATTTTCTTAAAAACCCTCCGTCTTCCTTGCTACTTTGGCCTGTTTTATACAGTCAACGTGCAACTTTTGGGAAAAGCAGGACAGCTATAATGCAGAACTACATGTAGCCCTCGACTTACGACTGTTAACGGAGATCAGAATTTGTCACTAAGTGAGACATTGGTTAAGTGAGCCTTGTCCCATTTTACGGCTTTTCTTTCTACGTTCGTTAAGCGAATTCAGTGCAGTTGATTGTTCAACATGGTTTGTTCAGTGAATCTGGCTTCCCCACTCTGACTTTGCTTGTCAAAAAGGCCACAAAAGGGGATCGCATGACCCCCTGGGACGCCGCCACCGTCGTTAAGTACGTGTCAGTCGCCAAGCGCCTGAGTGTAAATCATGTGACCATGGGGATGCAGCAATGGTCATAAATGTGAAAAATGTCTGTCTCTTTTTTCCAAGTGCTGTTGTACCTTTGAACGGCCTCCAAACAAACTGTTGTAATTTGAGGACTACCTGTACTATCCTCTAATACAGAGTTCCTCAACCTTTCCACGTTGGTGGCTTGGAGCTGGGCAGGTGCCTGCAATGCTTGCGTAAGTGGGGCTCCCTGAGCCCCCGCAACATCTGAGTAGGGATCTGCATGCATGGACCAGCCAGCCACTCATGTGGCCCCGTTGCGAATAGGCTGTGGACAGGTAGTGGGCCATGGCCCACAAGTTAGGGACCCCTGCTCTGAGGGACAATAATTTATATACTGGGGGCAGACCAGCAAGAACCTAACGATTGGGCTAATGAATCACCCTCCTACCTTTACAGGAGCCCTGATGGCACCATGGTTGAAGTGCATATTGCAGACTGACTCTGCCTACTGCCAGGAATTCGATCCCGATGGGGCCTTCTGAGGTCGGTCAAATGAGGAGCCAGATTGTTGGGGGCAATTAAGCAAACAATGCTTTCCCACTGTAAACTGCCCAGAGAGTGCTGTAAAGGGCTATGGGGCGGTATATAAGCCTAAAATGCTATCGCTGTTCCTGAACTTAGAACGTCTTATCGCCTACTTGAAATTTTCAGGGACGTCAAGAATTGGATGATTAAAATATCTGAAGCCAACTTAAGGATTTAATGAAGGGAGAAGTAATTATTAGCAATTATGTTGTGGGGTGGGGGTGTATGGGGTCTTGCATAGGGCATTCACCTTCTGTTTTCTTCTTCTTGGCATCTGGGGCACCTTTTTGCTTGGCTAATTCCTTCTTTCGTTTTCCAGGAAGAGCGTCTGGGGAGTAAAAAGGCAAACAGGTGTTTTTTAAAAATAATAATAATAATAATAATTCATGTATAAAGGAAAAAAGCCCGCAAGACAAAGAGTCCCCCGAAAGTAGCACTGGATCAGGACTTGACTATCTTGAGGATTTTGCTCATGTGTGATTTTGGACCACATCAGTTCAGCGAGAAATCATCATTTCCAGTTTGGGGTGAAAAGAAAATCCACCTTGGACTTCATGCCAAAGCAGCCTGGGACAGGTGAACTCACCTTCCTCCTCCTCGTCGTCCTCCTCTTCATCCTCCTCTTCGTCCCCTTCCTCCTCCTCGTCCTCCTCTTCCTCAGAGTCTTCATCTTCTTCCTCAGAATCCTCCTTTGCTGCAGCTGCCTTGGCAGGGGTTGCTTTTGCTGGCACAGCTTTCTTTCCCTTCGCTGGAGTGGTTTCCATGGGCTCGTCTTCTGACTCTAGAGCCGTAACCAGAAGGGCCATGGGAGAGACCAATTCTCAAGAACCACCTTCTCTCCTCCTTCAACCTCTCCGGCATCTTTGGCCTAGCCCCTCCCCTCCCCTACTGAAAATGCTCTGTGCCAATCCTAATGAATGTCAAGAGATGAGTCCCAAAAGGTGCTTTTTTTTTTTTCCAGGAGGAAAAACTGGTTTTTCTCTTGAAGACGTTTTGCTTCTCATCCAAGGAAGCTTCTTCAGCTCTGAATGGACGGCGGGGAATGGAAGGATTTATACTCTTGTAAGTATGAAGGCAGATAAAGGAGCGTAAATCTTTCTATTCCTCACACTCACTCAAAGCTGAGGAAGCTTCTTGGATGAGAAATGTCTTCAAAGAAAAAAACAGAAAGTCCAGTTGCCTCCTGAAAAAAAATAGCACCTTTGGGACAACTGTGACCTGGATGACCGAGAATCTCCATAGACACAAAGAGATAAGCAGAAGAACATACAGGTAACCCTCAACTTACAACCACCATTGAGCCCCCAGTTTCTGTTGTTGTGAGTTTTGAATCATTTTATGACCTTTCTTGCCACAGCTGTTAGGCAAATGATAGCAGCGCTTAAAGTAGTAACACGGTTAAGTGAATCTGGATTCGCCATGGCTTGTCAGGAGGTCACAAAATGTGACTGCATGACCCTGGGACACTGCGACCGTCATAAATAGGAATCCCGTTACCAAGCATCCAGATTTTAATCAGGTAACCATGGGGACGTTGTATGTGCGAAAAACGGCCGTAAGTAACCTTTTTTCTGTGCTGTTGTAACTTTGAATGGTCACTGAATGAAATGATGTAAGTCCTCAAAAGCGAGGACTTACCTGTAGGCTCATCGGCTGCCATTCTAAAATTCCCCTCAACTCAAGCAAATAAAAAAAAAAAACCTGTTTAAGAGCTACTCCTCTTCTGTAATTTGACTTAAGGGCGGGATCAACACATCAGATCTTACATGAGACATCACCAGATCAGTATTAAGTCCCAAAACTCATCACCTGTGCTGATGTTTTCCTACCACCCCTTTTCACAATAAGCCCCTCTTGCCCTCTCTGCTAATTTCCTAAGTTTAACTGCTCCCCCCTTCGTTAAACCCAATTCGGTTGTAGTCGAGTTTGTTGCAAAGCAAAGGAGCGAAGGCTTGCGGAATCCGCTTTTGCCGGCTAGCCCTTCTTCGTAACTCGGGAAGCCGCGCTTTTCTCAAGGAGACGTACCTTCATCCTCGCTATCCTCCTCTTCATCCTCCTCCTCCTCCTCCTCCAGTTGCTTCAGATTGGCAGGAGCTACAGGCTTCTTCTGAGGTGCTTGGGCGACCCGTTTTTTCACCGGTACAGCAGCAGGTTCCTCCTCAGATTCATCTGTATTAGCAAGCAGTTTTACTTAGATTAGTCCTTAGTCAATCAACGGTTAAAGCTTACATTTAACAAATTGATCCTCCTTTTGAAAAAGGGTGGGGAAAAAACAAAACAAAAACCAGGGACTCCCTACTAAGTACATTTGTGGGAAGATCTTTTCCAGAAGACGTGGGCTTGGGAGCGCCCAATGTAAGGAATATTGATACAAGTTGCCCTTGACTTACAACAGTTCTTTTAGTGACTGCTCAAAGTTACCACGGCACTAGAAAAGGGGACTTTGTTCATACTTATGACCGTTGTAGCATCCCCACAGTCATGTGATCAAAATGTGGACACTTGGGAACTGGTTCATATTTACGATGGTTGCAGTATCCTGGGGACAAGGGATTCCTGTAACAACCTTGTGGCTAATGAATGTGGCAAGGAATGTTGTAAAATGGGGCAAAACTCACTCCACAAATTTTTCACTTAGCAACAGAAATTCTGGGCTCAATTATGATCGTAAGTCAAGGAGTTACCTCTATTGCCATTTATTTATTTCAGTGTACTGACCACTCAACTCCGGGGGACTCTGGATAGGGCAGAAAACAAAACGTTTACAACAGGACCCTTCTGTTTAGCACGTTCAATTTACCTTCCTCGCTATCATCTTCCTCCTCATCCTCATCTTCATCCTCCTCATCTTCTTCCTCCTCACTTTCTTCCTTCTTTGCATTCTTCCCATTTTTTGCTCCTTTGGCAGGGACAGGTGTTTTCTTTGCAGGAAGAGGAGCTGCTGCTGCTGCTTTCTTGGCCGGAGTAGCTACGGCCTTCTTTGCGGGAGTTGCTGCCTTTTTATTGGGAGCGGCAGCTGCTTTTGCTGGGGTCGCGGCTTTCTTAGGAGCAAGCATCTACGGAGAAAGCGCATATTACAACAGGCAGAGCTCTCCAGCAGCCCCCCAAAATAAGGGAAATGGGGATTAAAATCCACTAAGGAAATAGCTTCAGTTCATTATTTTTAAGCTAAAAAGTATAACTTAGCAGGGAAAAAAGCTACTGTGCAACCATCATTCCATTTAGGGAACAATCATTATCCATATAAACTGAATATTTTCATTTACAGGCAGTCCTTGGCTTATAACCCCTCATTTTACACTTGTGTGAAGTTACAATGGTCGCACAATGGGGGTTTACAGTTAATAAAGCCCCCTATCACCATAAATGATTACAGTGATCCCGTCATGGGATCAGTTATCCACTGTGGAAGCGTGTGGTCACACGATGTTTTGCGGTAGGTTATTTTTTTGCGGATTTCCAGCAAATGAACGGGCTGGGCTAAAGAGCATCACAAAAAAGGCGAGAAAATTACTTCGGGCTATGTGGATACCTCGACTTCCAATCCCATTTCCAGTCATTGAAATCTACCTGTGCTTTTATCAGATTTAACATGTTCAAGCCACACTGGGGGAGGGGGGAGGGAGAGAGAGGCACAATGAAACAGGAGCAGCTTTCAATTCCAATTGTGTTTCTAATAGAACGCGAAATGGATTTAAGACCAAGATTGTTTGGAAGCTCAAAGCGGTGTCCGGAGCGCTCCGTCTTATTATTCTTTGTCACCACAATGATAACTCTTGTGCGGAAGATTGAACTTGGGAGACACAGCAAAAGTCCCAGGGCTGAGGCTGTACCAGCGCTCATATCTCTGCTCCTAGTGCAGCCCCTTCACCTCACAGTGGTTCTCACCTCTTCCTCACTGCTCTCCTCTTCTTCTGATGAATCTTCTTCATCACTGTCATCGATTTCCTTTGGGGGAAGGGTAGTCATTTTCTTTTGTTTAGGCTGATTTTTAACATTCTGCAAAACAAAAAATACGTGAGGTTTTTTCTCATCTGGAATGGGCGGGTCTGGCACAAAATCATAAACTTGTAACATTACATGATTTATATACATCGAGTATATATTTTATAGGTAACCCAAGACAACCCTTCTTGATGCAGTGAGGTCTAGGCAAGCCAATAAGGTTGGATACCCAGGATCTAAAATATCCACAGCTAGCCAGATATTACAGTCTTTACTGAGTAACAGGGGCTGCAAACTCCATCGCTAAGCAACGTGGTAAAGTGAAGCTTAAGTGACTGGGCCCACTTACTGTCAATTCCAGTAGCTGTCATTAAGTGAATCACCCATGGCTGTTAAGTGTAACATGCAACCATGATTTGTGATTTCTCGCCAGCACCATCGATTTTCACTAACATATGTGTGTCCCAGGAAAATGTTGCAGGATCCAATCTGGGTCAGTCACCCAGATCCCGAGATTTTATCTTGAGCTTTCAGACCCGTGCTGGAGCCCATGGTCAGAGATGTTCCCCGAGGATGGGCTCCGGCCCAAGTACTGGTTCCTGACCCACATTGGATCCTGCTTCACTGATTTTGCTCGCTGGAAATTGGCTGTGAATGTTACAAAGTTATGATGCAAAAATAGGCACCAATTTAGGGAATAGTTGAAAACCTTCTTCCGTGCTGTTGTAACTTTGAACAGTTGCTGATTAAGCAGTCGGTAAGCAAGGACTACCTTTATATGTATTGTCCTATCATATAATGATTTAAGTATTTGGAATTGCAAATAGGTGTTGCTGATAAATGAGTCTTCCACCAACATTTCACTCTGCAATGATTAGGTAGTTTTCAAAGGCAGATATTTTATTTGTCATACTATCTTGAAGGATATTTCATGATTTGAATTTGTTGGGCTGCCTCATCCTTAAAATCTAAAGCACTGAAGTTATGTACTTTTTCAATCACACTAAGTGCTTCATAGTATGAGTGACAAATAGCTGGGTGTCTATTTGGCAGAATTTGTATCAGCCTCCTAAAACAGAAAGATCAGAAATCATTAGATTGTGAATTTTAGTTGCGAACAAAAATGATGCATTGCAAACTCTTGAAAAAGTTTAATCTCAAAACCGTTTCAAGATGAAACTTCGTGAGATATTCCATTTCAAAGCCTCCCAGTGCTCAAAACACTCAAATTTCGTACTAGAAATGGGTTTTCTGCAAGATTCACCACCTGAAATGGTTCAAACTGAAATATTCTGCACTTACTACAGTTCATTTGTATCTAAATAAATCAGATTCTTTGTCTCTCAGTTTGCTATGCTGAAGTCTTCAAGTCTCCGATATGGATGGTATCAGGGTACAGTATAGGGACACCAATTTTGAGGCTCCAATACAAAGAAAGAAAATCTTGATTAAATGAGTTGAACTCTGCTGAAGAGAGAGAAGGAATCTTCCATTGAGCAAACTGTATTTATGCGATAAGGAATAACCCCCCCCCCCCCGGGGAACACTCTTGTGGGTGCTCCAACATTGGAGGTTTTTAAGAGATTGGACATTTGTCTGAAATGGACTTCAGGGTTTCCTTGCTTGAGCAGGGGGTTGGACTAGAAGACCTAGAGCAGCAACCTAGATAACTAGGGGACTGGAGGCAACCAGTGGCAGGAATTGGGTATGTCTAGTTTAACGAAAAGAAGGACTGGGGATGACATGACATAGCATCTTCCATCGCCAAAGCCTCTGAAGGCAGAAACTAATCCAGGCAGAGAAGCAACCTGGAATTAAGGAGAAACTTCCTAACAGTGAGGACAACTAACCAGAGGAACTGCTTGCCACCAGAAGTTGTGGGTGCTTCACTTGAGTTTAAGAGATCGGACAACCATTTGCCTAAGCAGCGGGTTGGACGAGAAGACCTCCAAGGTCCCTTCTAATTCCGTTTTCTATTCTCCATTCCAGTATCTATTCTATTCTACATAGGATCAACTACTTGAACAGGGGGTTGGAACAGAAGACCCCCAAGGTCCCCTTCCAACTTATTCGATCACCCTGTTATGTGGCAGAGCACATGCTTTACCCCAGGGGTGGGCAACTATGGCCCTTTTATGAATTATGGACTTCAACTCCCAGAATTCCTGAGCAAGCCATGCTAGCTCAGGAATTTTGGGAGTTGAAGTCCACAAGTCATAAAGGGGCCATAGTTGCCCACCTCTGCTTTACCCAAACCCCAGGAAAGGCCTTAGGGATCAGGGCTGTGGGGAAACCCGAGGCAAGCCTACGGTCCAGCCTACCTCGATGCCCGCGCTTTGAGGTTGACTTAAGCTTAGGGTAAGCAGAGGCGCCCCACGGGGCAGCCCGTTTAGGTCACCCAGGATGGGGGGGGGGGGACGCACAACTTCGTGGGAGCCACGCTGGGCCCGGCCAGTCGGCCTCCGTCTCTCGGCCTCGTGGGCAGCCATCCGACTTCCCGCCCGGGCAGATCAGGGGTGGGGGGTGTCCCGAAGCCTGGGCGGGTGGGCGATCCCTAGGGCCGCGGCCTGGCCCGAGGAGGGCGCCACGTGCACCTCCCTCCCTCCATCCACCCACCCACGAGGAAGCGCGGCTTCTCCTCCTTTCACGTGCTCTCGGAAGGGAGTCGGGGGTCACGTGGTCGGACGGCGCGCGCGCGCGCGCGGGGAAAACCCGCACGCCAAGGAATACTGGAGGTTTTTTTTTTTTTTTTTTTTGGTTTCTCTGCGCGTGCGCAGGAGCGGCGACGTCGGGCGGCAGGCTGGGCGCCTAGAAACCGTTCTCGGCAGGCAGGCAGGCAGGCGCGCGCGCGCTCTCAATCGTCGGTCCGATGCGTGGTGGTGGTGGTGGTGGTGGGGTGCCTAGAAACCGCCGAGCGCGTGCGGGCGCCCGAGAAACGCTTCGAAGTAAGCGCGAGGAAAGGAATTGAAGGGAGGAGAAAAAATAATAAGGGGGCGGCCGCTTAAACCGTTTCTAATTTATGATCGTCACCGCTGGCTTTCTTCATGGACTGCGCGTGCGCGCGGGAGGCCTAGAAACCGCCGCGCGCGCGCGCGCGCTCAAGGCCGCCCTTGTTAACCCCCCCACACACACCTTTTCTCCCGCCGCCCCTCAATAGCCTGGCTGCTTTAAGGCCGCCGCCGCCATTCTCCTCCTCTCAGGCTAGGCCCGCGCGTCTCACCTTAGCGAGCTTCACCATAATGGCGGCGGAGTTGTCCGGATGTTCAGCTGCAGAGAAAAAAAAAAACCACCTCACGCTCCCAGCGCCTAGCTCGAGTCTCCGCCTGAGCCGAAAAGAGGGAGGTTGAGGGAGCTCTTCGCTCTTTTCCCCGCCCCCGCTGGGTTGCTCTGGCCAATCGGGATCCGTGCGCTCTTACGCCACGCCCACTCGTCAGGATGGACGGCCCGCCGTTCGAGCTCTCGCGAACAGCGCACGGCGAGCCAATGAACTCCGTCCTCGCCTCATCCTATCAGAAGCCGCGCCTCTTTCGAAGGCGGGCGGAGGAAACCTAGCCAATGGAATGGCCGAGTTGGCAAGGCATGGCGCTCTGATTGGGGCGCTCTGCTGGGCGGAAGCGGCGGGGTGGAGGAAGTGAGGCTGCACGTGGCGCTGGGTTGTATGCTGTACCATGCGCTTGATCATCATCCTCGCCAAAACGTGGTTGGCTAGATTGGGGCGGATCGTGTGAACGCAGAGCTGGTGTCCGGAGACAACTCGGATGGCGAATCTTCCAGTTCTTGGTGTGAATTTCTCCATTCGGGGTCTTTCTATCCTGAAATCATCGGACAACCAAGTTTCTTCTGTTGCTGATGGATCATCTGGCTCCTAAGAGTTGGAAGGGACCTTGTAGGTCATCTAGTCCAACCCCTCCGCTCAAGCACCATTTCTGACAGATGGCAGTCGGGTCTCTTCTTGAAAGCTTCCAGTGGTTGAAGCTCCCACAGGTTCTGAAGGCAAAGCCGTTCCAATTGGTTGTGTGAGTGGTCAGATTAAGGAAGAATTATTAGGAATGGAGGGGCTGCCACAGAGAAGAGCGGGTTCCACCTGTTCTCCAGAGCGCCTGAAGGCAGGACAAGAAGCAACGCATGGAAGATTGTATCAAAGGACGATCCAACCTGGAAATAAGGGGGAAACATTCCTGACAGAACAACCCAGTCGAAGGGGTCTTCAAACTTGACAAAAGCTTTAAGACTTTTGTGGACTTCAACTCCCAGAATTCCTCCTCCAGTCATCTTAGCTCAGGAATTCTGGGAGTTGAAGTCCACAAAAGTCTTAAAACTCAAGTTCAAAGACCCTTGATCCAATGGAATGATTTGCCTACAGAAGTTGTGGATGCTCCATCGCTGAAGGCCTTTAGGAAGAGATTGGACAGCCATTTGTCTGAAATGGATCTCCTGCTTGAGTGGGTTGGACTAGAAGACCTCCAAAGTCCCTTCCAACTCAGTCATTTTGTATTCTGAAAGGGTAAGAGCGGGAGCTTTTTTCAAATATTAATATACCAAAAAGAAACATCATCTGTCTCTTGGGCGTTGTATATATTGGCTTTTTCTGGGGGATTTTGATACTTGATTTGGTTTCCAGGACAGGAAAATTGGCATAGATCTGGCTGTGTTCACACCCTACTTAATGGTTTACGTCTAGACTCCACAGAAAACAATATAATCTTGAAACTTCTTAACCTCTACCTTGATTTTGGGAATAAAAAGTGAAATATTGGAAGCAATCAGCTTGCTTAGTTTTGCATCTTTCAGGGGTTTCTCAAGACTCTGTGTCAAAACATCCAAGAGTCACAAGCTACTAATAATGAGTCTATCATCTGCACCTCTATAACTGTCTGGTTTGGCTCTGCAACCAGACAGAACAGACACAGACTTCGGAGAGTAATGAGGACTGCAGAAAAAACAATTACTACCAATCTGCCTTCCATGGAGGACCTGTATCCTGCACCCTGAGTCAAAAAGAGGGCTGCGAAAATATCTACAGACCCCTCACATCCCGGACATAAACTGTTTCAACTCCTTCCCTTAAAACAACGCTATAGAGCACTGCGCACCAGAACAACTAGACAAGGACAGGTTTTTCCCTAACGCCATCACTGCTAAACAAATAATTCCCTCAACACTGTTCAACTATTACAAAGTGCACTACTATCACTATTAATCTCATCACTCCTTATCACCCATCCCCTCCCACTTCTGACTGTATGACTAACTTTGTTGCTTGTATCCTTACGATTTATATTGTCTGTTTCCTAGTATGATTTGATTGCTGATTGTACCCTATGACTATCATTAAGTGTTGTACCTGATGATTTTTGATTCTTCATGAATGTATCTTTTCTTTTATGTACACTGAGAGCATTTGCACCAAGACAAATTCCTTGTGTGTCCAATCACACTTGGCCAATAAAGATAGTTTTTAATTTTTTTAATTTGATAATATTCATCATAATAAACCTAAATAATTCACAATCCAAAATATGACAGGTCATTGGGACTTACCCACTTGGTGGATATGACAAAATATATGATATTCTACCACAGATAGAAACCTTACTGGGTCCTGCTTTAGCCATGAAAGCCAGCTGCGTGACCAGGCCAACCCCTCTCTACCCAGCCCCACTTCACAGGGTCGTGGGGAAAATAGGAGGAAAGTGTGTTGGATATCTTCTCCATCTTGAGTTATTTGTAGAATATAATAAAGACAGGATATAAATAAATACATGAGATTGCCACAGAGCACACATTCAATAAGTAAATAAATGGTGTTTAGACAGAGTTGGGAGCATCTCCCACCAAATTCACTTATGAAATGTTCAACACACACCTTGAAAATTATACAAACTGCCTGATGCTCAATGAAACCGGTTACAAGTGAAAACCTTAAAATAATATAATATGATAAGAGTAAAATTATTGAGAATTATTGAGTCTGTCATCTGCGCCTCTATAATTGTCTGGTTTGGCTCTGCAACCCAACAGGACAGACACACTTCGGAGAGTAATTAGGACTGCAAAAAAAAGAATTACTACCCACCTGCCTTCTACTGTATACTGCACGAGTCAAAAAGAGGGCTGTGAAAATATCTACAGACCCCTCACATCCTGGACATAAACTGTTTCAACTCCTTCCCTCAGAACGACGCTTTAGAGCACCGCACACCAGAACAACTAGACACGAGGACAGTTTTTTTCCCTGAATGCCATCACTCTGCTAAACAAGTAATTCCCTCAAGCACTATCAAATTATTTATTAAGACTGTATTACTATTATTCTTCTCATCCTTCCTAGTACCTATCTCTTCCCACTGATAACTATAACCGTGTTTAGTTCACTTTACTTTATTGTCATTGCACCTCGTACAACGAAATCAAACACCATTTTCAGTGCACATCATGACCAGGAAAATAAACACAAACACACATCCTTCACACTCCACACATTGAACCGAAACCCCCCGACACCGCACCAACACTGCACTTCGTTCCCATTTCTGCAGTGTTGTGTGGAGCCTGTGTTAAAGTTTCCAGTTTCAGTCCCCTTAACTTCCCAGTGTACAGGTAAGTCCTCGACTTACAATGGTTCATTTAATGACCGTTCAAAGTTACAATGGCATTGAAAAAAAGTGACTTAGGACCGTTTTTCAGAATTACAACCTTTGCAGCCTCCCCGTGCTCGTGTGATCGAAATTCAGATGCTTGGCAACCGATTCATACTTATGACGGTTGCTGTGTTCCAGGGTCACGCGATCCCCTTTTGCGACCTTCTGACCCACAAAGTCAAGGGCGGGGAGCCAGATTCACTTAACAACCGGGTGGCTAATTTATCAACTGCAGTGATTCCCTGAACAACCGAGGCAAGAAAAGTTGTAAAATGGAGCAAATTTCACTTAACAAACGTCTCACTTAACAACAGAAAGGTTTGGGGTCAATTACGGTCGTATGTCGAGGTCTGCCTGTCATTGAAACTCCCATCTTCTCAGAAAACCTTCCTGTTTTGTAAGTCACATTCATGGAACCTTGAGTAAGGAAAACCAGCTGTTAGACTTGGTATCAGGGCTGGGAGGCAAATATTTTTACTACCGCTTCTGTGGGCGTGGCTAAGCGGGGTGGCCATGTGACTGGGTGGGTGTGAGCTTTTTTTGTGCAGCACCCCCCCCTCCACCGCACTCCATGTTTGTTGCCTCCTGGGCCTCAGGGAAGCCTCCGAGGAGGCCATTTTTGCTCACAGGTAACAGCTGATCGTCGGAACAGCTGATCATCAGGAGGAAAAAAAAACCAAACACCATAAGGAGTGACTGGGTGGGGTGAGGCGAGCGGGGGGAAATGCAGTCAGTGATGTCGCGCATGCGCGTGATGTGCATGTGCAATAAGGACTGCCCGGACGGGGAGAGGAGAGGCGGACGGAGAGGGGCGGGGCCAGCCAGGGACACGCTTTACCAGTTCTCAGAACGGGGCAAAATTGTAACAACCGGTTCTACCGAACCGGTAGAATCCCACCCCCTGCTTGGTATAGATCAGCGGTTGCCAACTGGTGGGTCGTGGCCCACCGGTGGTCGGCGAGAAAATTTTGGTGGTCCGCAGAGAAATGTCACCCCCAGAGCACCCGCCAAAGCAATTAACCCAGGCTCTGCCCTCCACACGGCCCGCAGGAACCCTCCCCACCCACTTACTCCTTACCGGGCAAACTTGCCTGCTAAATTGCTATTTTTCCTTTTTCCCCCCCCGACCATCAGCTGTTCTGTTGTGCAGGGAGATTTAGATTAGCTAGAAAGCAGGAAATCGTTGGATTTCTTTAGATTAGCTAGTAAGAACCTTTAGATTAAACCTCCCTTAGGACTGAAGCAATACAGGCTCAGCTAGCTGATGGCAGAAACACAGATCTCTGAGTGAATCTGTGATTCTGTGAGCAACTCAATCTGCCTGCCTGCTTTGCCTGATTTTGGGTAAAAGTGGCTCTTTTTTTAATAAAAAAAATCAATATTTGTATAAATATTTATAATATTTACATAAAAGCCACGCCCAGCCGGTCACATGACCACCAAGCCACACCCACAAGTTAGGCCACGCCCACAGAACCGGTTAGTGGGCCCGCAGGATTTAAAATGATGCGTTTGGTGGTCCCTGAGGTCCAAAAGGTTGGCGACCCCTGGTCTAGATAGAACAGCGCTTCTGTCTTTCTTTAAATTCTCAGGAAAATATTTAATATTTAAAAGACCCTCTGGAATACTGCTGAGAGAATCTCAAAGACAAGGATCTCCACACTTGACCATTTGAAGATATGTGGACTTCAACTCCCAGGATCCCCCAGCCAGCGTAG